TTGACTTATATGTAGTAGTTTCATTATAATTCAGATCTAAAGTACTTTTAAAATTCTCATTTTGATTTCTTCTTTGATCAGTGAGTCAAAATTTTCTGGCCCAGAGATGTAGCTCAGTGGCACCACGCCTGCCTGGCAAGCGCAAGGTCCTGAGTTTGATCCCCTGTAAGGGGAGCGGGGGGGGGGGGGGGGGTTACCTACCTTACTGTATGTTATATTGGTGTGGGAAGAAGGGTACTTAGAACTTCATTGCACTTTACTCAAGTAATGTGGCCCACATAACATGAAAACTCTCGATACTGTAGTCTTATGGTCTTACATATGAGTGTGGCAAACTAAAACCTACAGGCCACATGTGGTCCATCACTTGTAAAAAGAATTTTATTCAACTATAGCCACACCAGACATCTGCATCTTGTCTATGATTGCACCCTATAAAATCAAAGTTTAATAGTTGTAACAAAGATCATATGACCCACAATGCCAAAATACAGTATTTAACAACTACTCCTTGAAGTTTGCAAACCCTTGGCCTAAAGCATGATCTATTTTCTCACACATTCAATATGTACTTGAAAAAAACTGTTGATGTAGTGGAGAAACTAATGGTCAACTTGCAACGCCCAGCTGAACTGAATCAGCATGGTCTGGGCGTGGAGGATCCAACTGAAGAGTGTTACCAATAGCCATAAAAAGAGAATTGACGGGGAAGAGCTGGGCTTGTTGACTTTCTAGGAGAAACTTGCTGCGGATGGTTTTCCTGATGCGAACTAGGCCGTTCTCCTTGGAGGAAGACCTCGGGGCCTCATTTTTGCGGGGAATGGCTGCTGTTTTCTTCAGGGGAGCTCTGATCTTCACTGTGAGCATCACTTCCTGGCTCCAATGTGGATCTCTCAGCTTAGTGGCAGAAATCCTTCATCTCACCGGCATAGGTTTTCTGCCTTCCACTAATGGCCTTTGGGCCTTCCAGATGCTGATCCTCAATATGGACATTGCCGTGGGCTCTAGGCCACTGGCTGGACTTGTGGAGGACATTGCCTTGGACTCTAAGCCTTCAGCTGGATGTGTGTGGAAAATTGCTGGGATCCAGGCCCTTGGCTGGATTCTTTGGGCCTCTAGTGTGCAGTTAATCTCTTGTACTCCTTTGCATTTGACTTTTTGGGTAATTATCATAAAACAATCCTGTAAACTACTCATCCTGTAGTAAATGTATTATCTTACCAAAACCCTGACTACAACAGCTGATCTCTCAACAGTTGGGAGCAGGGTTCTATATACATTCACAAAAATTAAATGTGTTAAGAATGTTTCTGGGCCAGGAATTTAGCTCAGTGGTTCTGCCACTTGCCTCGAAAGCGCAAGGTCCAGAGTTCGATCCCCAGAACCAAAAAAAAAAAGAATTTAGTCTATTTCCATTCAGTCTTTTTCCCTCCTGTGGCTGGTTTTGGGGGTCTCAGTCCCTTGAGAGCTCCAACGGAGGATAGATGGCCTAAAATTCAAATGAATAGAGACTAGAATGGGGAGGAAACATCTGTGGGAGGTGGATGGAAGATGCAAGAGAAGGGATTTGCAAGGGGCATACCAAAGGATTCACAGGAACAAAAGAGAAGGGCACCTGCCTCGCAAGCAGAAGGTCCCGAGTTCAATCCCCAGTAACCAATAAATAAATAAATAAATAAAAATTAATTAATTAATTAAAAGAATAAAAAGAACAAGGTTGATTTTAAAAAAAGAGAGAGAGAAGATAAAAGTAGTAAAGAAAAACTCAGATGCTGTGGCCCACACCTATAAGCCCAGCTACTTGGGAGACCTTCAGGAGGATCACAAGTTCAACACCAGCCTGGGCAATTTAATGAGAACTGTTATCAAGACAAAAAAAAAAAAATATGAAGGGGCAACAACAATAGGAAAAGGAGAGGGGAGAGACCTTAGAGGAGATCTTCAATTTCCCACAGAGACCAATGAAGTTCCAACATGAAGGAGGCAGACAAAAGTTAGCAGAGCACATAACAGGAGGACAGGAGGGGATTCAGGTGACAGAAGTTCCAATGGAACAGAAAAGCCTCAAAGGGTGCCAGGAGGTATGTCCAGCCCATGGAGTCAGAGAATAATCTCCACTCAGGAAAGCAGGCCAGGGAGAATCCTTCCAGCCAGGAGGTACCTCTCAAAAGAAGCCTGGTACTCTATTCTAGCTTCAGAAAGTATAGTCAGAAACTTAGGAGTCAAAATCTCTCCTCACCAGCTTCAACAGACATTGTCCGGAGCAATGGTTCACCAGTCTGACTCACCATTGGATCCCCGATCAATCAGTCAGGAGTGAAGACAAAGGCTTCAAAGGTGTACACTTGGGGTCCTGGGTGAGAGGTCTGGGGGTCCAATGATGAATCTGATTCTATCCAAGCCACAGCAACCTAACTGTTAAAGAAAAATTATTCAAAGATATTTGTTAAAGCATGGTAAGGTAGACTTGATTCAAGACCATCTCATTCAGTACAGTGACCACTGTGATGGAATTTAACAATAGGGGAGAGAAATTGGGCTTAAATCCAAATACAGAATGGGCAAATGGAAATTTATAGCCATGGAGTAGGTGGGGAACAGTGGATGGAAAACTACTAAGAAGAAACATAAGAAGTAAAGGAGATTCTAGCTAAATCAACTAAGAGGATTCTTGTTGAAGCCAGGGCAGGATGCTCAGATGTCACCTGGAGAATGGTATGGACCTAGGAACCTGAACAGAGAAATATGACCATATACTGAAGGTGCCTAGATACCCAAGTGAGGGAGTTCTTACTGAACTGCTTTAGTAGTTGGTAGAACTGTTTTACAGAAAGGTAACAGAGGCCTATGAAGTCATGAGCCTAAGATTTGGTCAAGCAAGGAAATCTTTGTCCCAACTCCCAAATTACTAAATAAATCACTAAAGCTTAAAAAGACAACATTTGCTTTCACTTACTATCTAAATTAATGTTCCACTGAGTTCTTATAACAACAGTTAAAGAAATTCTCTTGCTGGCCCTCAGATTATCACTAGCAAAAAAAAAGGTACAACTAATTTATAGTAAGTCATGTTCTAAACATTAACTAAGGCTAGGTGAAATACCTCAAAATATCTCAAGATACCTTCTCATTCCACAAAAAAAGCATTTTAAAAATCTGGCAGAGGGCTGGCAATTTAGCTCAGTGGTTTCACCGCCTGCTGCCCAAGTGCAAGGACCCGAGTTCAATCCCCGGTACCAAAAAAAAAAAAAAAAAAAAATCTGGCAGAAGGCTGGGAATGTAGCTCAGTGGTAGGGTCCTTACCTAGCATTCATGGGGCCCTGAATATAATCCCTAGTACAGTACCACAAAATAAATAAACAAACTACCAGAAAATAATTGATGATGACTTTCCTAACATTTTAACTTTTGTTGTTAATATTAGTTATTCAACTTTTACTATGTGCCAAGCTCTGTGCTCAGCATTTTCTCAAACACTCCAAGTTTCCTAGGAAGCTTTTAGGAAAACAAAAGGAAAGACCAAAAAAAAAAAAAAAAAACACACATCTTAGCCTATTTGGCTCCACATGATCTGGCTCTTGCTCATCTGATTGCATTTCACTTTCTTGGCCCAGCCTTCACCCATATTCACATGGTTTGCCACTTCATTTCATTAAGTTCCTGGTTCAAAGGCTGTATTTTCAGAAGAGTCTCCTCTGACTACTTTATCTAAAATAGTATTTCCTGTCACTCTCTATACTTCTGACCTGGTTTTACTTTTCTTTAGAAAACTTACTACCTGAAAATATATTCTATATCTACTTACTATGCATCTTCCTTAGAATTTATTGTTAATATGCTACAAGAAGTGAGACTTTGTCTTGTTTATTGCATTTTAGCATCCCGAACAGTACCTCAAACAGTAGACAATAAATATTTCAATAAACAAATTATCTTATTTTTACCTTCACATAACCCTGAGGGAGGTGCTATCTCATTTGGAAAAGAAACACTGAGTTTTACACTAAACAATTTGCCCAGTGTCACAAGTTCTAAGCAAGGGAGCAAGGATTTGAACACCTAGGCAATTTAAAGTCTAACACATTTCCAGTGCATCTCAGATTATCTGTAGTAAAAAGCAGTCTTTAAAATTTCCAACCTAATGCAGATCAATGGTTTTATAAACTATGACAAAACTGTCTTAGTAATGTTAAAAATCATGAATTTTAAAAAAGGCAGAAAATTTCGTATTTTTGTCAGGCATGGTGGCACATGCCTGTGAACTCAGCACTCTAAGAGACTGAAATAGGAGGAGCTCCAAGTTTGAGGCTGGCCTGAATAACTTAGTGACTTAACAAGACCGTATCAAAAGTTAAAAACAAAACCAAACCAAAAAAAGCCCAGGTTAGGGATGTAGCTAAGTAGAAAGGCTCTGGGTTCAATGCCTACTACCACACACACAAAATTTTTTTTTTTTATTATAACTATTGTGAAAACTTTAGTAGTTTGAACAGATTACAGACATTCTCTCTGATACTTACATTGAAAGTTCTAGATCAACTCACAAACTAAAGAACAAAATCACAGATTATACCTAAAGTCTAACCCATCCAAGGGGTAAGACCTGAGAACACATTTCTGATAATCCACTGACAGCAAACCTTTTAGAGATTTCAATGATAACAAACAGCTGGCTATGGCACAAGTGCCATAGGGTCCACCACCGGTGTGATAGTCAAAAAGCGGGGGGGGGGGGGGGCACAACACAGCAGGGCATCATATAAAGTACAGGCAGCAGTGCTAAGGTTTCCTGATTATGTGCACTGGAGCCACATTGTCAGTGTTGTTATTTTTAAATTTCATTCAGCCACTAATATAACTGAAATATTATCTGTATATTTTTTTCCTCTCTAAATTGCATACTTGGAAACATCTGGGTCACCCTCACCACACTGCAAGCACAAAAGCACACACCGTGATCTAATGATTTAAAAGAAAAAAGAAAAACATAAGTTACTTACAGTTCTTTCAAGTGAATCTGAGAAAAAGCATTTTCTTGGATAGATATTATAGCATTGTTGTTCAAATCTCTGAAATGAAGAGAAATGAAATATTACCAGTCACCATTTCTCCAATTAAGTCATATAAACACTTTTTTTTTTTTTCTTGGTACCAGGGATCGAACTCAGGTCCTTGCACTTGTGCAGCAGGTGACAAAACCACTGAGGTACATGCCCGGCCCTATAAACACTTTCTTATATGCTTGTAACAAGCTCTGATAACAGCAAAGATTATTTACATAGTGAGAAATGTATGTAAAATACTTACAGATGCTCAAGGGATTCAAGACCAATGAATGCTTTCTTTGTAATTGACTTAATCTGGTTTCCTTGTAAGATTCTGAAATAAAAATAAATTCACTCAACTTGTTAAGCACGGCATGAAGGCTTTTATTATGATGTTGGAGTTCAGTGAGGTACCTCTGAACAACCATCCTGACCACTAATAAAATGTTAGTTTTTCTATGTTAAATTGAGTTAAATTCCCCTTTTTTCTGTTTTTAACAAAAGATTCCATAACTTCTCTTTTAGGGCCCATTAGGAGTGCTTTACCAATAAAAAGTGCCCCACTAAAAACAAATCACTTGATAAACAACAAAGCTCCTTCCTTTTGCAGATGGGTCAGAAGGCTCAAAGTTTCTGGTGGTATCAAATAAACATAATCTTATCACATTTACAACTGGTTCTTGAAAATATACCTTTGTAGACATATGCAAATACATACAATTTAGTGAGACTTGTGAGTCCAGTAAAGGCTTCACTAGCATCTTCTATGGCCCATGAAATTTCATTGTTTCTTAAGTCTCTAAAAAAACAGTCAAAGAAAGAGGTTATGTTAATCAACAGGACCATCATACCATCAGGCAGCAGCCTGGTATGACAATGCAAGGTGCACATGCTAATTCTGATCCTTATCTTAAGTTATTCATGAAGAAGACCCAATTCTACTTTTTATTTTTTTATTATTTTTTTTGTTAACGGGGATCGAACTCAAGTCCTTGTGCTTGCACAGCAGGCGGCGAAACCACTGAGCTAAATCCCTGGCCCCCAATTCTACTTTTTAAAAAAATCTACAAAAAAATTTTTTCAAACGTCTGTGATAAACACGGAAAAACTGCTTCTCATAAGCTAAGAATTAAGATGGCCTTAATATATAAATTAAACAACCTGCTAGGAATATCAATCTTCCTAGTTAACAGCATTTAATTGTGTTAGCATATTAAAAATTATAGACAAGTTCCTTCAGAAAGAAGGAGGGTTTCAAGATACAGGAGATAAGTATTACAATCTGATTTCAAACTAATTGGATTTCAGGCTACCTAAGCTTCCTCCTGGGCCCTTAAAATGGCTGACAAAGAGTAATATCAATACAGAGCTTCACAGCTCAAAAGCAATTAAACATCCCCCCTGGGAATCAAGAATGATATGCCCATGTGTTAGAGTTGTCACTGTATTTTCTTTAAAAGGAAAAGTATAGATCATTTAAAATCCATTATTCCATTCTCAGAGGAAACGCAATTGTACCACATCATGTACTGACAGAAGAAATACAAGTTAAAAATATTTAATCACTTTTGCTTCCTTAAGCCATCTAATAATAAAACACAAAGCTTTCTTCTTTATAAGATATATACAAAGTTGTGTCAGTAACAGCAAGGAGGCAGGAAGTCCTTCTTCTTGCTGAGCCATCTTTACTTGAAGTGAAAAGCCAACACAGTTTATTTTATTTTACTAAGGAATAACTATCAGTGGCTTGTCACTTCAGAACCATCTCCTCCACTGCAGAACATAAACAGAAATCACTCAATGAAGCGAGTAACAACTATCTACTCTTGTGAGAGTACTGGGCTAAAGCCAGAGTTTTTCAGACCTGATTCTAATTCTGCCTTACTTCTGTGGCTTTAGACAACTATTTACTTCCTCAATTACTTTCCTAAAGTTTAATCCTAAAAGTAATAATCAGTGTAGGATATTCTGAAAACACCTGTTTGCTGTCCCTTCAACTGTCAAAAGGCTGTAGCTAATTTTTTTTTTTTTGTACCAAGGATCAAACTCTGGACCTTGCGCTTGCGAGGCAAGCAGCAGAACCACTGAGCTAAATCCCCGGCCCTAGGCTGCAGCTAACTTTGATATAAGTTTCTGAGCCTGCACTCATCTAGTTTCACCTGATGATGTAGAAAAAAGAAAGAAGAGGATTGCTTTTTAATTTTTCAAGGCCAAATCTAGAGAAAGTTAACAAGGAAAATCAAACATATACTTACATGTGTATAGATACACCTTCACAAAATTACTAAGGCAAGAGAATCACAAGTTTGAGCCCAACCTGAGTGACTTAACAAGATCCTGTCTCAAAATAAAAAAATTTTAAAAAGGCTGGAAATGTAGCTCAGTGAAAAGGTCCTGTGTTCAATCTCCAACATTACAAAAATAAATAAAATACAAATCTACAAATTCTATTAATTACTCCTTTCTTTCCCCTCTTATTCTGTTCCATATTGAGGACTGCTAGTATTTCATTTTAAAACCTCTATATCATTCAATATGATTATATTCCATGACAGGGCAAAAAATTTGACTTACAAAACCACAGGATTTTACAGTTAAAATTTCCTTTAACAACCATCTAATTAATTTGAAGAAACAAAGAAAACGATGATCAGGGAAAGCTAAGTAATTGTTTATCTGATTGTATAAAATATAGTTTAGCTTTTGCATCAAACAGACCTGGATTCCAATCCTGATCCAAACATTTATGAGCTATGTGCCTCTAAGAAATTATTTTAATCTCTCAAATTTCAGCCTAATAGGGAAAAAAGTAGTACCATCCTAATATTTTTTTTTTGGTACCGAAGATCGAACTCGGGACCTTGCACTTTCGAGGCAGGTGGTGGAACCACTGAGCTAAATCCCTGGCCCACCATCCTAATATTTGAAAGCACCTGGCATATATCAGATAATAAGTATTAGTTTCAAATACACCAAAACATTAAAAAAAAAAAGTATTAGTTTCTTCTGTCCAAAGTCATGTAGCAAACTAGTAATAGTGAACAGAGCTGTTCCTATCACATATCCTACATCCTTTGAATGAGAATAGTTCTGGTGCATAGTCAAGATCAGACAACAAGAAAATTACTGCATTCTTGACACTAGCAGCTGTATTCTATGCCACAACAACTGGCAGAATAAGAGAGGCCTTACTGTTTATGTGATTAACCCATAATTAAAATATAAACTGAGTAATCCCAGCACTCAAAGGCTGAGTTCGAGACCAGTCTTTGCAACATAGCAAGAGCCTGTCTCAAAAAACAAAAATAAAAAACAAACAACAAACAACAACAAAAAACACTGAACTTGTCTACTATATGCATTAAGATTTATTTATGGGATATAAACAAGTAAGAATGACTTGCCCTGAGGCACAAGGAAGAAGAACCACAAAGAATTACCGTAATAGGGCCGGGGATTTAGCTCAGTGGTTTCGGCACCTGCTGCGCAAGTACAAGGACCCGAGTTTGATCCCCAGTACCAAAAAAAAAAAAAAGAATTACCGTAATAAATTTGCAAGGTGCTAGGGATGCAGTTCAGAGGTAGAACACTGGCTTAGCATATGAGAGACTCTGGGTTTGATCCTCAGCACCACAAAAATAAATAAATAAATAAATAAACAAACAAACTTGCAGACTGGGGCTGAGGTGTAGCTCAGTTGTAGACCACTTCCCTAGCATGTACAAAGCCCTGGGCTCAATCTCCAGCGAGCAAGGAAAAAAAAAACAGACTGATTACGTGTTTTCCTTTTTCTTTTTTTTTTTTTTCTTAAAGAAGAAAGAAAATGAGTGTACTTACAGTGTCTGAAGATTGGAAAGAAACCTAAATACACCATCGGCAATGTGAGTGACTCTGTTGTCCCCTAAATTCAATCTCTCCAATAAACTTAGACCCACAAAGGCAGATTCATCCAGGCGGGTCAGCTGGTTATAGGACAAATCACTAAAACAGGAAATATGGGAGGTAATGAATTCATTATATTTTGAATCAACTTAAATTTTTATTATATTTATACAATAATTTAATGCTTCCAACAAACTTCTAGGAAAGAGGGACAACAGATTTCATTACTAGCCATGGGAATGATTTATTCCAACCTGCTCTAGTCTTACAGCCTCCGATGAAATGCCACCCAACACTTACAGTTCAGATAGTCTTTGGCAGAATTCCCATGCATCAGGGCTGATTTTTTCAATAGCATTCTGGCTCACATACAGCTGCTGTAACATTCGCAAGCCATATAACCAACCCTTGTTCACTCGTGTAAGATTATTGTGTTCTAGTTCTCTGCAGAATTAGAGAATGAGATGAAAAAAGTATTTCAAAATGCGGCATTTCAATAGCAAGCAATTTTAAATCTTCATTACATCTTTCTCAGAGACCCACATACCTTTGTTCAACCAAATGATCCATTTTATTTGATAAACATTTATGTCTTAACATTTAGTGCTAGAAGATAATAAGACTATCTAAAACATCAGCCCTACCAAATCAACATGCCAAGTGGTATAATACTCTTCTTCTGGATAAATTCTGATAATTTTCATCAGAGAAGTTTGTAAGAATGACAAAAATACCAGGTGACCAATGAACAAATACCAGGTAACCAACAGAAATTAAAAGATACGTGTGAAAGTTGTGAGCACAATTTGGTGGCAGAATAGGTAGTTAGCATGTACAAGGCCCTGAATTCAATCTCGAGCCACTCCCTCAAAAAAAAAGCTTTGTAAATGGAGAAAGAACTAATATACTTCGGTATAATTAAGCAGCTATCCTATCCATCTGGCATTAAAAAGTTCCAGACAGGCTCCTTTGCTAGTTCTGTTATGGGTGAGATCTAGCATGTCCCTTCCAAAGGCCCACGTGTTTCGTAGGTAATTGGATTATGGGAGGCTATATTCATCAGGATTAATCCACTGATGAATTCAAAGCTAAATGTGCAGTTAGGAGGTGGGTGTGGTCAGAAGGGGTGGGTCACTAGAAGAGTATATCTCCCTCCCTGCTCCTCTCATTCTCTGCTTTCTGGCTGCCATTAAGCAGCTTTCCTTCACCAGACCCTTCCTGCCTTGGAGCCAACTGACTGTGGAACTGAATCCTCTCAAAAGCCTGAGGCTTTTGTCCCAGCAAGGAGAAAGTGACTAAGACAAGTTACTAGTACTTACAGTTCTTCCATGTTATTCAAGCCAAAAAATGCTCCATCTTTAAGTTTGCTAATTCCATTCCGCTGCATTTTCAAAGATCTTAAGGAGTCAAGCCCTTGGAATGTAAGGCCCTCCACAATCTTAATTCTATTTCTTTTAAGTTCCCTTAAACAAAAAGTTTTACAATCAAACAACTGGTTTGCTGAAATGCTCTACCAAAAATTAAAAAGAAAGAAAAAAAAAAACACTGTAAGGAGAAATTATCTCCTTATAATCCATCTATTTAGTTACTCACAAGAACTGGAGGTGAGGCAGCTTGAAGATCTTAGGTGGAATCATGCTAATTCGGTTCCGGTTTAACTTTACCACTAATAAGGAACTTGATAAATTATCAAAGCAACCAGCTTCCAAGGTAGTTATCCTATTATTACTCAAATTCCTAAGATGAGCAAGACAACAGCAAAAAGAAAAATTTAGTAAAATAAAAATTCTACCCAAGTCTAGTCACTGAGCCCCAACTCTATACTTAACTACGTACAACTTCACAAATCATTTAACTGCATTGTTTCTTTTTTTCTTTCTTTTTTTTTTGTACCGGGGATTGAATTCAGGACCTTCCTCCTGCAAGGCAGGCTTGGTGCCAATGAGCTAAATCCCCAGCCCTAACTGCTTTGTTTCCTCATCTACAAAATTAGATATGATAAGGCTGGGGTATACTTCAATGGGAAAGTGCTTTAAAAAGAAAAATCTAGGATGAAATCCCAAAAATTATCCTAAATGCCTATAGTGTACTCTTTCTTTTGCGGGGAAAGTGGGTGATAACCCCAAAAACTCAACTCCAGGTTTGTTTCACACATGCATACTAAAATCCCAATAAATACAGACATTTGGGGGCAGAGGGGCAACAATGAATAATAAAAATACACTTTAAAGTAAATCTAATTTAAACTTTACTTACAGGTATTTAAGCTGCATTCGGGGAAATGAAGATGTCTTAATTTCTGATATTATATTTGAGCTGAGGTCTAAACTCTCAAGAGCAGGATAAAACTGGAATGCCTCTGGAATTATTTCTGGGATTAAATTATGGACTCTACAAAACAAAGATTATATTAAAGCAATTGCCAGTGATCTATTCCTGGCCACAAGAATGCTAACTAATCAGGATCAACAATATGAATACTTAAAAAAGAAAGAAAAAGAAAACCTACATACTATTCTTAATTTAAGTGAAAGATCTGAAATCTCAATTACTTACAATGAAAGCAGAGTAATATTACATGTTGGTTCTCCAAAATATGGGATTTCTGTTAACTCATTGTAATTCATTTTCCTAGGCCAGAAGAAAAACAGATTCAAAAATTTAATGAGGGAAATGCTACCTCTTAAATTCTGTTTTCTGACTAATACATATTCTTTTAGGGTACGTGCTAAATTTGAAAAAGATTATTCAGAAAGACTATGATAAAAATGAGAAAGTAGGGCCGGGGATTTAGCTCAGTGGTTTCGCCACCTGCTGTGCAAGCACAAGGACCTGAGTTCCATTCCCAGTACCAAAAAAAGCCTGAACTACCTAGTAAGACCCTTCTCAAAATTAAAAAAAAAAAAAAAAAAAAAGAGAAAGTAGAGTTTTTAATAAATTTTTTCATAGTGTCGATCTACTATTGATATCAACATAAGAAAGGATAGGAAATATTTTGCACATTAAATATTTGGAGTCCCAGAAAAGTTGAAGACAGATGATTTGAGTCCTTAAAGGGAGTTCATCCAGATATCAATCTTTCCTCCTGTGCCCAACCGAGCACACACAGGCGTACACGTGTACACACACACGCACACACACACACACACACACACACACGTTATTCAAAGTTAAGGAATGTTGCTTAGGACCACAAATGAAAAATTTGTCCATCCAGAGATCAAACTTATGATTACTTTTACACATGACATGTCACATCTATTCCCAGCAGACCTTTAAACAGACTATCTCAATGATTAAGGAACAAATCTAATACAATTATATTTCATTAACCATTTTTTAATCACTGAATAACCTCAACAATCTAGACTACAGAAAAGAAACTAAAATACACTGTCTCCAAGAAACTAATCTAAGTTACAAAGTCCATGCAATAAAGCTCATGTATTTCCCAGTGAGCATCTTTAGGCCTTTCCTCAGTACCTACTCTTTCACCTAACAAACTTGTCAACTGTTTATCCAGTTCCATAACAAATTAGGAGCATATATTTGGGTCCTAGGAGAAAAAATGCAGGGACAAAAATATGAACAAATTATCCTGTCCACAAAGAATTAAAGGAAAAAAAGAGACCTGAAGGTTCCGAGCGTGTTTAGTAAAGAGGCAAACAGGGATATATACCTCAAATAATTGTGCCTCTGGGAACATCACAATGAAATAATTTGATATTAAGTGCTCCCAGCATTCTGGGAGGCTGAGGGAGGTGACAGCAAGTTAGGCAGATCCTGTTTCAAAATAAAAAATACGAAAGGGCTAAGGATATACCTCAGTAAAAAGGCCCTTGGTTCAATCTACAGTACTACATACATACATAATTTTTTAAAATTCTCTCACAATTCCATATATATTATTTCATTAAAGAGAAAGTTTTAGTTAAGAAAATTGAATTAAAAAAAAAAATTGAATTATATCAACCACCATATTCTCAAATAATATCCAAGATATTATTTCATATAAACCTACTTTAGACATGATGCTTCCATCTTAAATGATATATCAAGACATTGAAAGAGTTTATACGAGATAGTTTCACTAGCTGAAAACTTGGCCAAAAAAAAATACAAAACATATTTATTCTGAAGAAAGAAAAAATTGTACTTTTGGCCCCTGGGAAATAGAACAATATTTCTAAAGTGTGCTTGAAATAATCATGCCCAAAGAGTTTCCGATAACAAAGCCAAAGACAAGAGTTATATAAAAACTTTTTCCTTCAATTTTTTTGAAGTGTCCCTGGATTGAATATCCCCAGCTCAAAATTTATTAAATCACTTAAAAGAATATTAAATAAATAAAAATAACTTACACTTCCTCCAATGTTTGTGATTCCAAGCTGATGTTCCAGTTAGATAATCGATTATGACTCAAATCCCTGAAAGACAAAATATCATTCTTAGTTTAATGCTGGAAAATGGACTTAAAAAAAAAAAACAGGACCTAAAGAACTTAAAAAGATCAGACCTCCCAAATTTCAAGACCCAATCTGAAAATGGGCATCTGAAATGAACAGACATTTCTCAGACAAAGAAGTAGAAATAGCAAATAAATACATGAAAAAATGTTCAACATCACTGGTCATTCCAGAGATACAAATGAAAACAATGCTGAGATTCCACCTCACTCCAGAAAGAATGGCTGCTATCATGAAATCAACCAATAACAAATGCTGGCGGGGCTGTGGGGAAAGAGGAACCCTGCTCCACTGCTGGTGGGAGTGTAGACTGGTGCAACCACTGTGGAAATCAGTATGGAGATACCTCAAAGAACTAGGACTGGAAGTCCCATTTGACCCTGCTATTCCACTGCTGGGGATCTTCCCCAAAGAATTAAAAGAATCATACCACAGTGATATATGTGTGCCCATGTTCATAGCAGCACAGTTTGTGATAGCTAAAACTTGGAAACAGCCCAAATGCCCATTAACTGGAGACTGGATAAAGAAAATGTAGTTTTTTAATAAAATGGAGTACTACTCAGCCATAAAAAATGAGAAATTAGAGACATTTATAGCTAAGTGGATGCACATTGAGGCGATACTCTTAAGTGAAATAAATAGGACACACATGTATAAATACCGAACAGTTTCTCTGGTGTGAGAAACTGAAAGTGTAAATAAGGACTAAAATGTACAATAGGTAATGTGAAATTGGAAGAAAAGGGGCAAAGGGGAAGGAAGTGGGAGGGCTAGGAGAAAGGATAGAAGGGAATGGGATTAATATGAGAAAATGGAAAAATAGGAACAAAATCTTTGTAAATAGGGAGGAATGGACGGGTTAAAGGGAGGGCTGGGCAAGGGTGAAAAATAAGAACCAAGAGAGACTATGTAAAGGTGCAAATTTCCAATGATGAATGTCATTATATTGTATACCTAAAATGTACCAATGATTAGAATGAATAATTGATAATGCAAAATAGGAAGAAAAGGTCCAAAGGGGTAGGGGTAGTGGGAGGGGCAGGGGAAAGGAAAGAAAGGAAAGGAAAAATGATGAGAAATGGAAAAAATGGAAGTAAAGTCTTTGTAAATAGGGAAGGGTGGAGGGGGTGAAGGGAGGGCTAGAAATGGGGAAAAAATAAGAGCCAAGATGCATTATGTAAAGGTACAATTCCCAATGAGAAATGTAATTGTGTTGTATACCTACAATGTACCAATAAAAGAATTTAACAATAAATAAATAAATAAATAAAACAGGACCTAAGGATGTAGCTGAGCACCTAACATATGAGAAAAGTTGGGTTCAATCCCCACCACCACCAAAAGCAAAGCAAAGCAAAGCAACTAAAATAGTAATACTAAAAGTCCAATTAAATGTGAATTTGAGTAGTACAGACAAAAAGAAATGTTTATAAATAAAATTTGTCTAAATTTCAAAATAGCTATATTACTTTTAATTTTATGTCATTAGTAATTAGAAAATATATTCATATGGTTCAATAATCACAAAATTATACATTAAAAATTTTCTACCCTTGCTTCCAAGCACCCAATTCCCCTTCCCACCTGCAACAAATAAAAATAGTGCATACTATTTCTTTTCTTTTCTTTTTTTTTTTGGTACCAGGGATCGAACTCAGGACCTTGTTCTTGAGAGGCAGGCAGTGGCACCACTGAGCTAAATCCCCAGCCCTAGTGCATACTATTTCTTGTGCAGTCTTCCAGATATTTTATACTAGAGCCAGGGATTTAGCTCAGTGACATTAGGGCTGGGGATTTAGCTCAGTGGTTTCACTGCCCACTGCACAAGCGCAAGGACCCGAGTTTGATCCCCAGTACCAAAAAAAAAAAAAAGTCTGGGCATCTATATTAAAATTGAAGTTTACCAATATTTTTATAGCTTCAGGAGAGGGAAATTAATGTCACCTTAAATTATGTTAATGATGATGACAGTGGTGGCTAATTTATTAAGTATCAGGTAGTCTTCTATATATATTGTATATACATTAGCTACTAAATTCACACAAAAACTACTTTACAAAGCACTTTTTTTTTTTGGTACCAGGAATCAACTCAGGTCCTTGCGCTTGGGCAGCAGGTGGCGAAACCACTGAGCTAAATCCCCAGCCCAGCAAGGCACTTTTATAATCTTCATTTTCCTAATATGGCAACAGGCACTGAGAGATTAACAATTTGTCAATCCAAGGTCACACAACTAATAAGTGAGGAAGCCACAAACTCAAAATTCCAGCTCACTTCCAGCAAGCAGTTTATAAGATACAGTAGAGTCCACTGAGGTTAGTCACAAGTTGAAATACCTGAGTAGGCTAAAAAAAAATTCACTCTGATGCTTCCTGGCATCTTTACAAGGCTGAGGTGGAATCCAATCCACACAAGCTGTCTGCTTGTGCTATGTATTGTGTGTTACAATATGGCTACCAATAAGGACACACTGGAGAAACATTACGAATCAATTTCTCTCACTGTGCCACCACAGGCAGTTGACAGGATGCATGCAGGTTTAAATGATGTCTCTATTACAGCAGAATAATCTGTTCTCAGCTAGATTCATGCCTGGCCATCTGTAAAACCTAACCACTCTCATCTAAGAGCTTAATTTACACCATGACATAATTAAGGCTACCTTAAATCACCACTTTTCCACAAGTGTTCTAAAGCTTTTATTCCAAGATATATGGCACAAGGCAGCAGTTCAAAGATACTCATGAATGAAAGGAAACTTCACAAATACAAATTTGCTCCACATAAAAATCTTATATCAGGTCTGGGAATGCAGCTAATGGTAAAGTACTTGTCTAACACACAAAAGGCCTTGGATTCAAATCCTAACACTGCAAAGTACAAAGATTTTGTAAAAGTCTTACATTCAGGGCTAGGAGTGTAGCTCATTGGTAAAGCACACAGATTAAAATATGCAAAAAAAAAAAATAGATTGGGCTGGGGATTTAGCTCAGTGGTTCCACCACCTGCCCTGCAAGCACAAGGACCTGAGTTCGATCTCTGGTACCAAAAAAAATAGAAAATGTGCAAAGCACTGAATTTAATCTGCAGCACACACACAAAAAAGTAAGAGTAAGCCCCTTATATTCAGATACTTGCTCGCACTTACTATTAAACACAGAATTTCACAGAAATGAAAAGTTTTGTTGTTGTTTTATACCATTTCAACTCTAGCAGAAATTCAATTGTTCTACTTTAAATTAGCTATTCCATATTCTGCTTGAAACTCACTGGTATGGCAAATGAAGAACTAATAACATCAGGCTAGGATAGTATGATCTAATTCTGTATTTCATGACTCCTAAAATTTAGTATTTTCCCCCCTTGGAGATTCAGGGCTTTCATCCTAATTATAAACATTTTCAATTTAATCATAAATTCTGAGATTAAGAATTTAAATTGGGCCCAGTGGTGCACACCTGGTATAAATAAATGCTCATAATGCCTTCTTTTTTTTGGTTCCGGGGATCGAACTCTGGTCCTTGCATTTGTGAGGGAGGCAGTGGAACCACTGAGCTAAATCCCCAGCCATAATGCCTTCTTGATGCCTATATATCTCTCTAGCAGTATAACTCTTGACTATACTTACCACCGAGTTCTTCTATGGATGTTACTCATCAATATACAGTAGATAGCATGGGATGCATGCTTATAATCCCTGCTACTCCCAGCTACCAGGGAAGCTGGGGGAAGAAGACTGCAAATTCAAAGCCCACCTGGTCAATTAGTAAGATCTTGTCTCAAAATAAAAAGGGTTGGGAGGGGAAGGGGAAAAGAAAAATAAGAACCAAGATACATCATGTAAAGGTACAAGATCCCAATGATGAATGTAACTATATTTTATACCTAAAATGTACCAATAAATTTAACGGAAAAAAGAAAAAGGGTTGGGGATGCAGCTCAGTAGTAAAGCCCAGCACTTGTCTAGCATGAATGAAGTCCTGGGTTTAATCCCCACTACAGAAAGAAAAAGAGGGGGAGGAGGTAGAAGGGGAGGGAGGAGGGGAAGGGGAGGGGAGGGGGAGGGGAGAGGACAGAGAGAGGAAGAGAAGGGGAGTGACAGTGTTACTGATTGGAGTTAGGGTTAGCTCAGTGATAGAGCTCTTGCCTAGCATGCATAAGGCCATGGGTTTAGGGGCACAAATACTTATAATCATTGTTTGTTTGTTTGTTTTTGGTACCGGGGATTGAACTCACAACCTTGTGCTTGTGAGGTAGGCACAGTGCCAGTAAGCTAAATCCCTGGCACACTTAAAATCATTTTTAAAGGAAATAATTATTAAACAACAAAATTAAGCTCAACAAAATTAAACTCAATTTCTGCACAGTATAAACAACTTTGCAGAATGAGTGAAAACTGTCCAATCTCTATTTGGGGAAAGAGTAATTTTTTCTATCTTTGAAGAAATTAGGGCTTTTCAAGGGAGCCCAAAGGATACCTGAAATACTTTGGATCCTCTATATAAGATAATGCTGTCTTAAGAATATATGCTTCAAAAAAAAAAAAGAATATATGCTTCAGTGGCTCTCCACCTGTCTTGCAAGCGCAAGGTCCTGAGTTCGATCCCCAGTATCCCCCCCAAAAAAGAATATATATGGTTGATACTGCCTACTACGTCAGACCCCACAAAACTTCCTGAAAGAACTACTTTGAATGAAACTGAAAAACACTAAAGATGAAGTGAAATACACTCCCAACATCGTACTACCATAGAAAGAAACTAGTATACATACATACCATTACAGCTGTTACTAAAATATAAGGTGTCTGGGCCAGGGATTTAGCTCAGTGGTTTCGCCGCCTGCTGTGCAAGCCCAAGGACCAGAGTTCGATCCCCAGTATAAAAAAATATATATATATAAGGTGTCTAACTAGAATTTTGTTTAGTTGGGTTTTTTATTTTTTTTATTTTTTTTGG